CCATGGCATCATAGCTCACAGCAACCTCAAACTCCTGGGCTTAAGCGATTCTCTTGCCTCAGCCTCCCAAGTAGCTGGGATCACAGGTGCCTACCACAACGCCTGGCTATTTTTTGGTTGCAGCCATCATTGTTGTCTGGCAGGCCTGGGCTGGATTCAAACCCACCAGCTCTAGTGTATGTGGCCTTAGCTGCTTGAGCCACAGGTGCTGAGCCAGGGTCAGATCTTGAAAAGCATAGAGCTCCACTAAGAAATCTGAACCTTACTCCAAAGTCAGTAGTTGAGCTGTAGTGAGACCCAACATGAGACATATTTCTTTTTTTTTTTGAGACAGAGCCTCAAGTTGTCCCCCTGGGTAGAGTGTTGTTGTATCACAGCTCACAGCACTTCCAACTCCTGGGCTCAAATGAGTCTCCTGCCTCAGCCCCCCAAGTAGCTGGGAGGCTACTGGCTATTTTTTAGTTGCAGCCATCATTGTTGTTTGGCGGGCCCGGGCCGGATTAGAACCCGCCACCTTAGGTGTATGTGGCTGGCGCCTTAGCCACTTAAGTCACAGGCGCCGAGCCATGAGACATATTTCTGAACAAACAACAAAAACAAAAAACAAATCACAAAGAACTGCTAATAGCTGTTTGAAAGGAATCTTTTGATTCTTTAGAGGCAGATAATGGTAAGTATTCAATCCTTTTCTTTTATTTTTTTTTTGACTGTGTCACCCTCAGTAGAGTGCTGTGGTATCACAGGTCACAGCAACCTCAAACTCTTAGGTTTAAGCGATTCTATTGCGTCAGCCTTCCTAGTAGTTGGGACTTCAGGCGCTTGCCACAACGCCCACCTATATTTTTGTTGCAGTTATTGTTGTTTAGCTGGCCCAGGCTTGATTCAAACCGGCCAGCCTGGGTGTATGTGGCTGGCACACTACTCACTAAGCTACAGGCGCTGCCCCAAAGAGGGAAATTTTTAAGATTAAAAAGAACAGGCTCAGCGCCTGTGGCTCAAGTGGCTAGAGCGCCAGCCACATACACCTAAGGTGGCAGGTTCGAATCCAGCACAGGCCGCCAAACTACAATGACAGCTGCAACCAAAAAATAGC